TCACCTCGACAACCAGCAGCCCATCGGCCATGCAGCATGGATGCAGCAGCCTAGTAGCCACTGGAAGGAGGTCAGCTAGGTGTAGGGCAGCAGTTCTCAACCTGCAGGTCGCGACCCCTTTGGGGGTCGAACGACCCTTTCATAGGGGTCGCCTAAGACATAATAGTAGCAAAATGACAGTTATGAAGTAGCAACGAAAATAATTTTATGGTTGGGGGTCACCACAACCTGAGGAACTGTACTAAGGGGTCGCAGCATCAGGAAGGTTGAGAACCACTGGTTTAGAGGTTTTAGAAAGTCCCATTTTAGGACATTGTCACTGTTCGTCCCATCTGGCAGCTCCCTCTGGTGAAGCTCCATTCACAGGGCTCGTTCTTATTGATTTGATGGGTGCTTACTTGGTGAGTAAAGTCCTAATTCCAAGGTATTTGTCAAAATAATTATCAGCAACTTACATTTTTTAACATTGCAACTGTCTGAAGTAGCAATGCTAACTAGCCATGGCTAACAGCAGCCTTACCAGAAACTTAAAAGGAAGATCTGAAAATAAGATGTTCATATTCCTGGGGCTTTGCTGAGGTTCAGGAAAGATGTGAGAAAGCCTCAGTCACTTACCTCTGGATGGCGTCCAGGCCGTGTGCAAGCAGTTGTGGAGGGCAAGGAGAGTGGTAGACAGGTCGTGTTGGAAGTGTGCTCCAGCAGAGCCTCTGCGGCGAGTGAGCCGTCTCCCTGTCCAGGACAGCGAGGGCAGTCTCGGTCCCAGCATGAACTGACGGCTGCGCTGAGTAGACTTAGGTGGCTGCAGGTGACAAGGAGTGAAGATTTTACAGAATTAGTTCAGGACAGTCAATAAACAGAGCGACAGCGGACCCCGTTGGAGGGGTTTGATTTCCAGGATTGGCACATCATATGTGTTAAATGTCTGACTTTCAACCAGAAACTATGAGACATGCAAAGAAACAGGAAAGTATGGTCAACACACAGAGTGAAAAAAAGAACAGTTGATAGGAACCGCCTCCGCGGTGCCCTGATGTTGGCCTTACTAGACAGTTACTTTAAACCGGCTAGTACACATGTGCTCAAGTAATGAAAGGGAATCTTTGCTAAAGAATTTAAAGTATGAGTGTGGTGTCTCACCAAAGAGGGAACCAAGTAGAAATTTAGGAGTTGAAAATTTAATAACTAAAATGTAAAATTCATTAGAAGGACTTCAGAGAGGTTTGACTTGGCAGGAGAAAGAATCAGCTACTTTAAGAAAGGGCCACGGCAATGATCATACTGTGAGGTTCAGAATTGAGAAAAAGAAAAGAAAAGAATGAAGACAAGTGAAGGGAGCCTCAGAGGCCAATGAGATCCCATCTGGAGAACCCACACACCCACATGGGACTTGCAGAAGAGAGGAGAGAGAGAGAAAGGGCAGAAGGAATATTAGGAGAAATGTTAACCCGAAAACATCGCAATTTGCTGAAAACCATTACTGTGCAATCCAAGGAGCTCCATGCTTCCCATGTAGGATAAACTCAAACAAATCTACACACCAGAGCCTTTCTGGCTCTTAATTGTTTCTTCTAAATTATAATTTTGTCTGTTACAGTCATATTTTTGGTAATAATGTTGAATTCCTGAAGTTGTATTCTTTTTATACATTTAGTGTAGTAAACAAAAAGTTTGAGTCATATATAATTAATTGCAAATAATTAACCAATGCTTATTGCATTCTTTTTTTGTATAAAATGAACTTTAATAATGATTTTTAAACACTTTATCTATGTTTTTTCTTTGGAAGTCAGGTTAATTTTTATGCAAGTTGGCATTTCTTAGTTTAATATAAACAAAATATACATGGTTAGTATACAGATTTTAATGTTTCATTTTAAAGCACTCTAATGTGACTTGGTTTCCTTAGGATTACTATTGGAAAAGGAAATAATTAAGGTTACTATGATATTTAGTGCTCTACTAACCAGGAGCTGAATGTTCCTTTCATGTTATTCCTTATGTAGTTTGGAAAACAGCAATATGAGTAATTTAATAGGTAAGACATTGAAACACTTCATCATTCATTGTAAAGCAGGGTTTTTGGAGGAAGGAATGTGATAAACGAGGTCACCATATAGAAATCATGTCATTTGCCAAACTTAACCCCATAATTTCCCGAAAATGTATTAGATAACTCAGTTACTCTCAATGAAACAGTACGACAAAGCGGCATCTGGCTTCCAACCGTCTGTTTCTGACGAGGTTGAGATGATTTAGGCCAGCGACACACTGTTCTGTGAACGGACACGGCGCATTGGTACCTAGACTGATGCGAGCTAGTGAAAGGTTACAGGTCTGCTGTCATCATGTGATCTTCATGTCCAGTCGTACACACTTTCTCTGCTTCTTTTGCCCACCTCCCTGTTGAAATGGCCGGGGCCAGATCCTCCCAGCACTTCAGTGTCAGTGAAACATGTGAGTTGTCTGAGCGGATGTTTACACTATCAGATAAGAGCGTGTACTGCAAAGATGTTAATGCATAACAGGAAATTAAGATTTTGACTACTGATCTATTTTTTATTTACAACTATTTTTATTTCTATGTAACATAATCACAGGGTACTCTTTACAAAATGTATTTATTTGAATAGAATTCTTTTTTTTTAATCTTCACCCAGGGATATTTTTTTCCATTGATTTTTAGAAAAAGTGGAAAGGGAGGAGAGAGGGGGAGAAACACTGATGTGAGAGACATCGATTAGTTGCCTCCCACATGCTCCCCAAGTGAGGCCTGGATCACACCTGCAACCCAGGTGCGTGCCCTTGGCCGGGAATCACACCCATGACCCTGTGGTGTGCAGGCTAACACTCTGACCACTGAGCACCTCTGGCCAGGGCTTGAATAGCATTTTTATTGAAATATTAAATGTACTGGCTTCTCTTTTGAAAGCTTTTTTCTGATTAGTCTGTGTAAATATTTTGATGATTCATTTGAAAGTTCTGTAATGTTCAATTTTAATGAAATTTTAATTGTTTTATAATCGAGAAGTTAACATTTATATTGGAGTTTCAAGTATCTTGGTAATGAGTTATGGATTTTAATTGTCCATTGAGCATCAGTTGAACAGAAAAGCAAAAAATTACATATGGTGTATAAATATTTTTATATAGTACCTTGTATGTACCAAATTAAAGACTTTATTTCCTTCAATATTTTGTTTGCTAGCAAAATGCTTATATTGTATACTAATAAAACTTGAAAGGTTTACATTTTTGTGTGTATCTCTTGATGTAAAACACACCATAAATCGAGATATTGAAACATTGTATTAGGGTGAAGCAAGAACTCTAGGCCAGCTCTATAAATCAGTTAAATTCAGGCTAAGTGGTAGTCGTTATTATACACCTTTTGATAGTTTGACTCTGTAAGAAAAGTTAGCCTATGCTAATAGCCATGATACTGATTTTGTTGTCACAGAAATACTGCTACTAATTAGTTCTTTTTTCTCCAAAAATATATAATCTCGATGCACACGTATTAAAGTCAGTAGTATCACTGATGGTGGAAAAAACTACCTTTGACATTTTAGCTTCTCATTTTGATTAGCATCTCAGTTTAAATGATCCCAAAATATATAATTATACTTATCTTGACGTGCAGATGTAAATATCCCAGAAATTCTGTAGACTTAATTGATTCAGAATGTAATTCATTACTTTTCGGAACAGCTACACTCCCTGTGCTTCCTCCCTCCGAGTGCAGTTCCTCACTTAGCAGATGCCACACGCGCCCCGAGTCCGCGTCCTGCTCACTCCTGGTGCCACTGCCTGGTCTCAGTCTTCTTTCACGACCTTTCATGCGAAGCCAGACTATTGTTTTCACCTCTTAACCTTTTCTTTTTGTAGTGCTTTGCCAGTATTATTGAAATCATTTGTCTTCTCAAAACTTTTATGAGGTTATTTTAATTTTCAGTCTTGGGATCAACAAAGAATGGATCTACCCTATTCATGTTAGTCACCCACTTTAAAAATATTATCAAGTCATGCTAATTAGTATTTTCTTATTTCAGTTTTAACATCCAAACAATCATACAAAGCTAAAACCTGTTTAATAAACACGAGGGAAAGTATAATATAACAGTATAGAACAGTGAGAGATGTATATTTTAGTTAACTAAATATTATATATTAGGAATATTGAATAATCTGAACACATTATTTCAAAATAGCTAACATTTACTAAGAATCTGAAGAACTGCACATCATTCACATGTATTTTATTTTTTTCAATATGACTTTATTAAGTGAGGATCTATTATTATCTTTATCATATCCTCGATTAGATAAACTTTGTAAGGTCATCATTTACAACTTGATAACATTTTATTATATGCTGAAATTTATTATATTAACCTTTGTATAATAAGATTTAATTTGAATTTAATAGTTTAAAGATGTGTTTCTTTTTATCTATTTTAATTAGTAATGCTATATGTATATTTCATACCTACATTTTTCTGATTAACTTCATAAATTGAAGTTTATACTTATTCACAAAAAGTAAGTATTCTAGAATCTTTATTCTAGAAGAAAGAATATGTAGGCACATGTAGGCTAAATTCTTAAGAAGCATTATCTTATTATTAAACTATTATTTCGAACTAATTATTGGACATGCTTTTCAAATGAACTCTTCAGAATTTTATGTATTATGTTCATGGGACTTTAAAATGATTATCTTCAACTAGTTTAAATGTTCCAGTTCTGTACAAGCTTTTACGAAAAGCTGTGTGTTGTTGAAGACATCGGTTTTGGTTTGTGAAAGACACAGGGTTCTGTCGAAGGTCACTGAGCAGAACGACAGGTGTACATGGACATGTTTTATCCAGTTGTCCCACACAGCCGGACGGCAGGCTTTGTGTGTTCTGCAGTCTTTATGTTCGCTCATATGTGAGAATATTTTATTAATGTTCCTGGATCTCTCCTGATGAAGCTCTTAAACCATCTTTCTTTTATTGCAGAAACGCCCGCCGCATTTCCAGAGCCGGTGAAGGAGAAGGACGCGGCAGCCCCCGGGGAGGAGATCCCGCTGGAAAGCCCCGGTCCTCACACCGACTCGGGCATCGGGGAGGAGCAGGTGGCGGGCGTCCTGAACGGGGCCGAGCTGGAGCCGAGCCCCGGCCCCGACGCCATGAGCGAGCTGCTGTCCACGCTGTCGTCCGAAGTGAAGAAGTCCCAGGAGAGCCTGACCGAGAGCCCCGGGGAGGGGCCGAGGCCCGCGCCGCCCGTCCCCAGCATCAGCCAGAGCAAGGGCATCAATGTCAAGGAGATCCTGAAGAGCCTGGTGGCCGCCCCCGTGGACCTCGCGGACTGCGGCCCGGACCCTGTCCCGTACCCCGACCCGGCCCTGAAGAGGGAGGCGCAGGCCATGCTGCCCATGCAGTTCCATTCCTTCGACAGGTGGGTCTGACCGTCCGCACGTGAGTCTGTCCACTTACACTGTTAGGGGACTTGACAACATATTCGTTAAGGTAGATTCAGACTACAAATAACGTCTAAGCGACAGACCAACTACCTCATAGTAAGTCATTTTAATAACATGTCTAGCTCGGCCGGTGTGGCTCAGTGGACTGAGCATTGTCCCCTGGACCGAGAGGTCCCGGTCTGACTCCCAGTCAGGGCACAGGCCCATCACGATCTCCATCCCCAGGGGTGCGTGCAGGGGGCAGCTGATTGAGGTATTTCTCGCACATCGATGTTTCTCTCTCCCTAAAAAGTCAATACAAACATATTTTAAAAATAATAATAATATATCTCAAAAAGAGGTTTCAATATGATGTGGAGGATATCACGTTGAATGAGAAGTAGAGAAACTCATTCTGATTGTGTGAACATCTCGTGACAACACTGCACTGGGGAGTCACCCTCTCTCTCCGGACTTCAGGGTCCCATGGGTGTGGATGTGGGGGGCAGGCCAGATTGCTCCAAGGGTCAGTCTGGCTCTGAACTCCATACAATATTAATGAAAACTATCATAATTGTTGGATATTAAGTAGGCTGCTTTAAGTAATGAACTTCACATTTGAATTTTGAATGTAGGTATAGGGAAAAAATTTAAATGTATGATCATCTTCCTTATGGAATTGACATTGTCTGTGTAAAAGCCGTATTTTGAGTCATCTGTTGGAAAATAAGTATTGCTGATGGGCATTTTAAGGTTCTAAGCAATTTATAACATGGCCCCATATCTGTCCACATTCAGATGTTAATTACACAAGGAATTTTTAGTTGAAAACCAAGAATTTCTTTTGTGTTCCATTATACATACCAAAAAATTGATAGTTCACAGAAGAATGAAATATTTTAGAATCAAAGAACTTGTGCATATAATATATTCTGTTTAAAAACATGTACAGTATTAGAAGGCATTGGAAAATAACTTAGGATTATTATTCTAACAATATTATATAACTTTGATACTGGTTTGAAGCATATTCCAAATTATGTTTACATACTTTTTTTTTTTTTTTACCTTCTAAATGTTCAGAACACTTTTTCCTACAAAATAAAAGTATATATATGTATGAAATGACTGGCAGGCAATATTTTATTAAATAGAAAAGATTTTGATCTTTAGGAAAACAAATGTTTCTTAACCTGTAATGTCAAAATTAAATATAGTCAAAATATAATATCTATTCCATATTGCTTTTTCTGAAATAGTCAAACTGCTTTGTCTGAATTAGAAACAGTAATTTTCTGGTGTTTAAGGGTCCAGGAGTGACAGTAAAACCATTTTCAGTTAGGACATATTATCATTTTTTTATATAAATATAGTTTAAATATTACGAGTATACATGTTAACCAGTGTCCTATAGCTATTTCTTGGAAATCAAAATTGTGAAAATACAAATGGCATTAGTCATTATGTAGGATATAAAGATGAATAAAATCTTTTGTCTTTTATGTACTTAGGAGTAATAAAAGAAAGAAATGTTTGCAAATTTCAAATCATATAAAATGTGTTAAGTGTCAACAGCTTAAAAAGCTGTAAGAAGGAGGGGTCTATAAATGCAGAAAGATCTTTCTTTTTAAACAAGTTTGTGTTAATATTTGGATTTTCATTCATGTGGCTTCTTGGAGGTACCTGTGCCATTTCAGGGTGATGTTCTCTGTCTCACCCGTTTGGCTTGTGGTCCCAGGATAACTGGGCATGTGTGTTTATTATGTGTGCATATAAATATGCATGTAAGTATCTTTAATTATATAGTTCTATAAACAAATGTTATGATAATTTAGAGTAATGAAAGTTTGTGTTCCGTTTAAGTTATATATTTAAATTTGTTAAAATAAAAAGCAACAAATACAGATCATTATTTTAACTTGCATAAGAGAGTCTAACGAAGTAAAGATTAAGTAATCTTTTATTTCGACTTGAATTACTGCTAGAACAGTTGTTTTCAATAAACCTTAACAAAGTAATCACCTGAATGCCAATATTCTCAGCTACTCAAAATGAATCACACTTTTGAGAATATATTGCTTTAAAAAAATACAACTTTTGGGTTGTTCTTGGTAGCTTTTGTGCAGATGCAGTGGGGGTGGAACCCTGGGCCCACATTCCGTAGGTAGGAATGGACTGAAGCGCACAAAGCATACTTTCATTCTTTTTAGGAAAGGGGTCTCCAGTAGCTAATACATGCAGTAGCTCAAGTACCATCAAATGTAAATGATGAGGTGATATTGATGAAAGGAGGGATTGGGGTCTCAGGGGGCGCGGATGAAGGATTGAACAGAAGCGGCCCTGCGCTGCACGCACCTCAAGTCTGTCGTCTTCACTGCTCAAAGCCGTAATGGGAGGTGGCAGTCCGAAATGAGTTGCCACGGCAAAGAGTATTATTTTTGAAATGCTTTCACACAAATCACTGGGCCCTGCATACAACTTAGTTTCATGCTTTAATGTCATCAGGAGGCACAGATTGGTGTGTCTAATTGTTTGCCACCTGCCAGCAAAATGAGCTGCCAGCCAGCCAGAAGGGTTTGATTGTCTGTCAGCCATTCAATAGATTGAGAGTGACAACATCAAAAATGTAACTTCCAAGTCGGGAGCTTCGAGCCGCTTCTCAGAGGCATCACACCCGCAAGCGCTGCTGGACACTGCGTTTCAGTTAGATTTCCAAAACCTTGCTCCCAGTTACCCTCTCTGCGGAAGATAGCTGTGATGATCCTATGAAGTATATGAGCGCACTTCTGAAAAATCAAATTCTAAAACCCAGGTTACAGCCTATCTTTTAACATCAGATTGAATTTTTGAAAATAGCATTGATGGCAGGCTTTCAAAGCAAAGTCCTGAATACCACCGGTATCAAACACAGCATTGCTCTGGGTCTTCTTGTACTGGTAGTGTAGTCATCAAATTATATTTGGTTGGAAAAGAGCTATAAACTCATTTACTTATTTCTAACTAAATCCTACTGAATAATATCGTACTATTTCCGTGGAAATCACCTAGGATTTTACTTTTGTTAGCCAATAGTTTATTCCTTCTGTTTCAAACGTATATTTTTTATACTTATTCTAGATTATAAATTTGGAAAAACATTCCTGAAACAATTAATGGGATTTGAATTTTGTTAACCTAGGTTCTGCGTAGGGTGTTTCTCACCACTTAGGAGTGGATGGAGCACTGATGAATTTCAGTGTTTTGAAGTTTATTGTTTATTTTTGAAGTTTACTTTCATTCAGTAAGCTGCAATATCAAATTTTAGAAACATTTAGAACTAACTAACCCATTTTTATTTTAGTTTTAAACCTTTCATCAGATTGTATTATGAAATATAGAAACATTCTTATCTGCATATATGGAAAGAGCTGATTCTTTTTTCTTTCTTCTCCCATCATCATCTGTGCTGATTTAGGTGTGTCTTTGATTATACTGAGTGGCCCTAACGCACGTGTGTTTATGCACTGGAAATGCCAGAGACCCTCTGGTGCTGTTGTACAGCGAGAAAACACCGTGTGTATAGCGGACCTGTCACAGATCGTCTGCTGTTCTGTGATCATGAAGCAAAGAGAAATATTTATTATGGCTTTATTTTCAACAGAAGTGCTTAATGATCTCAACATAGAACTCATAAATCAAGTTGTAAAGTTTCCCCAAATACTATCTCTTTTGATAGATTTCTGTATAGGCCTATGCTTGATAAAATATTCTAGCTGGCCAGTATTTTTTATGAATTAGTAACCTTGTAACTTTTAGGTTGTGGTAATGCTTTTCTTCTAAACCACCTTCCTATCTTTTATACTAAAATTTTAATCTTATATATCCACATGTTTTTTAATCTTTTGAAAATTTGAGAATATATCAGTCTCAGTTTCCCTGGGTTTCTTGAGAGAGATTCCCCTTTAGTTTGGACAAAGGACCAAAACAAACAAAAAAAATGTGGAGAACAATATGCTTCTCCATACATTGTAACTGTTACTATGCTTAGAAAATTGTTTTCAGTCTGGGATTTCACAAATCGCGGTTGTTGCCACCCTGGCTAATGAACATTTTCCCTTACACAATTATGCTTCATCCCTTAGGATTTTACAAACCTGCTTATATTCAAATTCCTGGATTTGATGTGTTCAGGCAAAGTAATCTGCATTTTTCCCTTTGAACTTTCATATTTTTACTTCCAAGTGTTTTATTCTCTGAGAAAGAAAATATCTAAAATTTTTAAAAATAGTTTTTTAATATTATAGGACTGAAAAATCAGTATAGATAGTCTTCAAATTGTTAAGCCCAAAGTGCACGCTTAGACTAGGTATTTCTAATTTTTTAACATTAGCAATTTTAACGTTAGTGCTAAGGATGACAATTTGGAGTATATGATAAAGACATGTTTTATAGACTTCATGGAATTCCTCCTACATATATTTCTTTAAGCTTAGAATTAAATGAGATTATGAAAAACTAGAATTTTGCTGAGGATTTCAATTTCTTTTCTTATAGTTTCCGAATTTTTTGAATAAAATGTGTTGATTATATTATTTAAAGGATTAGGTAAATGTGAGCCAAACTTAGGAGAAATCTGTTGCACTCTACATTCGGAGTACGTGACAGCTGTGCCCTGCAGCCCCAGCTGCTGCAGGGGTCCTGGGTGACTGTCTCAAGGGCAGGAGCCAGGAAGGGCGGCCCTGGTGGCGGCCTGAGCTCCTGAGCTGTGCCTTTGTCCCCTGGCACTGAACAGGCAGGCAGTGAGCTGAGCGCGTCTCTCTTCAAAGGGCAAATTAATGAAAGACTCAATTATTTCTCACGTATGGTTTTTGTTATTCTAAATATAAAATAAGGACTCGGGAAACGTGAAAACATCATAGCAGTAACCTTGTGGTTTCGCAGGAGCATCAGTGAATTGTCAGGTCGCCCTGAAATCATTACCAAATTGATTTTCTCCGGAGTTTCCATTTTTTCTTTC